ATTATCTGGATCTCTGGATGTCTATTAAATAATGAAAAGGTCATCCATTGATTTGATCTGCAGTGAATATGCAAATGTATATAGAAGTCCACATATGACTATTTGAACCTTATCCAAAACTTATCCTAAACCAATTCATGACTTAGATATAAGACAACAAAGTCAATTTAAAGATTTTAATAAATCATCTAGTATAATAAGTATAGCAAAATCATTTTTTCTTATCTTTCTATCTTTATTTACATATCTTGTGAAAAAGTTTGAACATGGTTTATATCACAAACTGCCTCTGTACACACAGAGACATATATATACATATTCATGTATACCATTTATGGTCCTGTTAGTGTTTTATTTAGTCATGATGTTTACAGATTAAGAAGTGAAAAATGTCTGACTTTAAACGTACGAAATGTTGAAGTAAATATATACTGTAATCAACAGCTTAATGATTGTACCTAAAATCATTATCATCATCACATTTAAGAATTACAAGGTGTGGACAAATAGTCCCTCATTTTAACAAGAAGAGAATGAGTGACTTGATTGGGATGACTGAATTATCAGGGATACAATGTGGACCAGAGCCCAAGTCGTGGAACGTAGTGTCCAGTATTCTTATTTATCTTATACCACCTGTATGGAAAAAAAAAAACTGAATTTCTGTAACTTTCTCTATATATATTTCAATTGCAATAGAAATGTGTTGAGATTTGCTTACTTATTTATGGCTATATATTTGGCTATGAAGATTGACGTCTTTACAATAGACTATAATTCTGCTTTAGGCTCTAGTTCTTCTGTGTAAAATTATCTTGTAAAATATAATTCAAAATTTACAGATTTTTAAAAGAAGTTAATAATTCTTTTCCCTCGTGTAGGACTGTAATTGATAACATACAGTAAAGCATCTTAATATGTTTGAAAACATATATTTTGTTGACAGCTTTTTTTAATATTAGAACAATGATAACAGATATAAGTTCCTGTCTAGCATTTAGTATATTTCAATAAAAATGTATTTAAATAGAAAAGAATTAAAACATCCCATACATGACATGACGTATGACCCTTTCTAGGCATTCTGATTATAAATCAGCTTTTACTTTTTTCCATCAGTATTGATAATTACTTCAGGCTTCTGGGCTTGTTTGCATTTTATCAACTTTGCACATACGTTTTATTTTAGTAGCATCCTTAACACACAGTC